CCAATGAAACCACCGCAAGTAGGAAAGTTAAGGTAATGAAGTTTTTTGTCAGTTAATGCCACTGATGGTGCACTGACACACGAGTTCTCCTTTTCTTTTATGGTCATTGCCTCGTATAGTTCCCTTGATATCTTTTCACGGTACCTTCGAAGGACCCTTTTCTTTGTAAGTATCGGCTTGCAGTGGCACTCTTACGTGCACTGCGAGATGCCCCGATGGTGTTGATTTGAGTGACGCAGCGTGTTCACGTTACCTGGTGTTCACGCACCGGCCAGACTGATCGACATATACACTGCCACAGGTGGAAGGTATTTCATTATAACCTGGCTTTGGCAAGGTATATATGTTTGCTGGTGCCTCTGGTCGCATTTTTTGCGACCAGAGGCACAAGTTTGTACTTGACCTTCGCGCTATTTATTTCCAAAATGCATATCCAACTAGCCAACCTTATTATTTTAGTACCGCATTCGTATCCGACCATCCTGAAGCCGCTCTAGATCTGTTCGTCCAACCGTGGATCCCGAAAGTGCTTTAGATAATGGTCCCTACCGAGTTAAATTAGGTGAGTGTCTCGTGAGTGTTCGACTTCACAGCTGACAGCTGGAGCGGGCGGGTTGCCGATCGTGTGGACTTTTCTCGTCATATAAGTGTGGCAATGACCTCGTCTTGAGCCTGCATTCGTATCCGACCGTCCTGAAGCCTCTCTAGATCTGTTCCTCCAACCGTGGATCCCTAAAGTGCTTTGGATAATGGTCCCTACCGAGTTGGATTAGGTCAGCGTCTCGTGAGTGTTCGGCTTCACAGCTGACAGCTGGAGCGGGCGAGTTGCCGATCGTGCGGACTTTTCTCGTCATATAAGTGTGGCAATGACCTCGTCTTGAGCCTGCATTCGTATCCGACCGTCCTGAAGCCTCTCTAGATCTGTTCGTCCAACCGTGGATCCCGAAAGTGCTTTGGATAATGGTCCCTACCGAGTTGGATTAGGTCAGTGTCTCGTGAGTGTTCGACTTCACAGCTGACAGCTGGAGCGGGCGAGTTGCCGATCGTGTGGACTTTTCTCGTCATATAAGTGTGGCAATGACCTCGTCTTGAGCCTGCATTCGTATCCGACCGTCCTGAAGCCTCTCTAGATCTGTTCGTCCAACCGTGGATCCCGAAAGTGCTTTGGATAATGGTCCCTACCGAGTTGGATTAGGTCAGTGTCTCGTGAGTGTTCGACTTCACAGCTGACAGCTGGAGCGGGCGAGTTGCCGATCGTGTGGACTTTTCTCGTCATATAAGTGTGGCAATGACCTCGTCTTGAGCCTGCATTCGTATCCGACCGTCCTGAAGCCTCTCTAGATCTGTTCGTCCAACCGTGGATCCCGAAAGTGCTTTGGATAATGGTCCCTACCGAGTTGGATTAGGTCAGCGTCTCGTGAGTGTTCGGCTTCACAGCTGACAGCTGGAGCGGGCGAGTTGCCGATCGTGCGGACTTTTCTCGTCATATAAGTGTGGCAATGACCTCGTCTTGAGCCTGCATTCGTATCCGACCGTCCTGAAGCCTCTCTAGATCTGTTCGTCCAACCGTGGATCCCGAAAGTGCTTTGGATAATGGTCCCTACCGAGTTGGATTAGGTCAATGTCTCGTGAGTGTTCGACTTCACAGCTGACAGCTGGAGCGGGCGAGTTGCCGATCGTGTGCACTTTTCTCGTCATATAAGTGTGGCAATGACCTCGTCTTGAGCCTGCATTCGTATCCGACCGTCCTGAAGCCTCTCTAGATCTGTTCGTCCAACCGTGGATCCCGAAAGTGCTTTGGATAATGGTCCCTACCGAGTTCGATTAGGTCAGTGTCTCGTGAGTGTTCGACTTCACAGCTGACAGCTGGAGCGGGCGAGTTGCCGATCGTGTGGACTTTTCTCGTCATATAAGTGTGGCAATGACCTCGTCTTGAGCCTGCATTCGTATCCGACCGTCCTGAAGCCTCTCTAGATCGGTTCGTCCAACCGTGGATCCCGAAAGTGCTTTGGATAATGGTCCCTACCGAGTTGGATTAGGTCAGTGTCTCGTGAGTGTTCGACTTCACAGCTGACAGCTGGAGCGGGCGAGTTGCCGATCGTGTGGACTTTTCTCGTCATATAAGTGTGGCAATGACCTCGTCTTGAACCTGCATTCGTATCCGACCGTCCTGAAGCCTCTCTAGATCTGTTCCTTCAACCGTGGATCCCGAAAGTGCTTTGGATAATGGTCCCTACCGAGTTGGATTAGGTCAGTGTCTCGTGAGTGTTCGACTTCACAGCTGACAGCTGGAGCGGGCGAGTTGCCGATCGTGTGGACTTTTCTCGTCATATAAGTGTGGCAATGACCTCGTCTTGAACCTGCATTCGTATCCGACCGTCCTGAAGCCTCTCTAGATCTGTTCGTCCAACCGTGGATCCCGAAAGTGCTTTGGATAATGGTCCCTACCGAGTTGGATTAGGTCAGTGTCTCGTGAGTGTTCGACTTCACAGCTGACAGCTGGAGCGGGCGAGTTGCCGATCGTGTGGACTTTTCTCGTCATATAAGTGTGGCAATGACCTCGTCTTGAGCCTGCATTCGTATCCGACCGTCCTGAAGCCTCTCTAGATCTGTTCCTCCAACCGTGGATCCCGAAAGTGCTTTGGATAATGGTCCCTACCGAGTTGGATTAGGTCAGTGTCTCGTGAGTGTTCGGCTTCACAGTTGACAGCTGGAGCGGGCGAGTTGCCGATCGTGTGGACTTTTCTCGTCATATAAGTGTGGCAATGACCTCGTCTTGAACCTGCATTCGTATCCGACCGTCCTGAAGCCTCTCTAGATCTGTTCCTCCAACCGTGGATCCCGAAAGTGCTTTGGATAATGGTCCCTACCGAGTTGGATTAGGTCAGTGTCTCGTGAGTGTTCGGCTTCACAGTTGACAGCTGGAGCGGGCGAGTTGCCGATCGTGTGGACTTTTCTCGTCATATAAGTGTGGCAATGACCTCGTCTTGAGCCTGCATTCGTATCCGACCGTCCTGAAGCCTCTCTAGGTCTGTTCGTCCAACCGTGGATCCCGAAAGTGCTTTGGATAATGGTCCCTACCGAGTTGGATTAGGTCAGTGTCTCGTGAGTGTTCGGCTTCACAGCTGACAGCTGGAGCGGGCGAGTTGCCGATCGTGTGGACTTTTATTTATTTATTTTATTTATTTCAAAATACTGCGACCTCGATGAGGTCATCGCAGGAGTGGAGAGAAAACATACATATACATTCAAAAAGACAATCGATTAAAGATGTACACACCCTACAAACAAAACTTAGAAAACCTTGAAAAATGCAATATCAAAAGATTACAAAAACAATCACATACACTTCAAGTACAGATTCCAGGCACCATACCAGAACACCTACTGTATTTCTAACACAAACTTATCAAAATCGAGACAACGAATGGATCCATTTATGTTATTCCAGTTTTCTATCGTTCTAGGAAAAAAAGAATATTTAAAACAGTTAAGGTGGGCTCTGTATGGTACAAGATTTAATGGATGGAAGCTTCTAGTGCGTGATTCAGTAACAAAACTAACATATTTTTCTCGATTAAGTGTACAGTTATTATTCACTATTTTATGCAGGAGCTTGAGCCGTTCTACAGCGCGTCTAGAATCAAGAGGCGTAAGTCCTATGTCAGTCATGGCAGATGTAGGAGAAAAATTGCGGTCATATCTATTACAAATAAATCTAGCTGCCTTTGATTGTATTGCGTCAATCTGCTTTATATCACCTTTTAGATAGGGATCCCACACCACACAACCGTACTCTAAGATAGGTCTAATCAAGGTCTTGTACGCCGTTATTTTAACTTCCCTAGTTGAAGATTTTAAAGTTCTCTTGACGTATCCTAGCCTTTGCAGAGCACGAGAACAAATAGAACTGATGTGCTTATCCCATTTGAGACTAGGCGTGAAAAAAATACCCAAATACTTGTATTCGTGAACTTGACGCAGAATTATATTACGAGTACCATAGCTAAAAACAGACGGTTCCTTCTTATTAGTAAATGACATAACTACAGATTTCTCAAAATTAATTTCCATCTGCCACTTTTTACTCCAATTCAAAAACTGTTCAAGAGAGTCATTTAGTAAGGCATGGTCATCTACCGAGTTGATTTCGTTGTACAAAACGCAATCATCTGCATAGAGGCGAATTTTAACTTGAAGACCATTTGCAACGTCATTAATATAAAGTAAAAACAAAAGAGGACCTAAAACTGATCCCTGTGGGACACCGGAACTAACTGAGACATTGCTAGAATGAACATCCCTGTATGAAACAAACTGTGATCTATTTTTTAGGTAATCTTCGATCCAATTAACTAATGACGTATTATTTAATATCGCTTGTAATTTCTGAAGAAGCTTATGATGTGGTACCTTGTCAAAAGCCTTAGAATAATCTACAAAGATGGCATCAAGTTGTACTCTTTTATCTAAAGCTAAAGCTATGTCGTGAGTGAATTCAAGAAGTTGGGTTGAGGTGGAGTAACCACGACGAAAACCATGCTGTTGAGGGCAAAGAATAAAATTAGTCTCGAGGTACTCAGATATCTGTTTATAGACAATATGTTCCAAAAGTTTGCATGAAGACGATGTGAGCGAAATGGGTCTGTAGTTTGTGACCACCTGTTTGTTGCCTGACTTGAACAAGGGGATAATTTTAGCCGACTTCCATGACTGAGGCACTGTTGCAGTAGAAATAGATTTTTTGAAAATGACAGATAGGTATTTTGAACTCCAAAGTGAATAACGGCGAAGAAAAGAATTTGGAATTCCATCAGGGCCAGGGCTTTTCTTACAGTCAAGTTTCATTAGTAGATTGAGGACACCAGAAACACTAATCTCTAAATCAGATAAAGGTGGGTATATACCTTCAAAGAAAAACTCTGAATCATTGCCGTTGTCACGACTGAATACAGATTTAAAATAATCATTGAAACAGTTCGCTATCTTTGTCGGCTCACTTACAGATTCACCTTCAATAGTAAAACTCTGTGATACACTACATCTTGGAATAATAGATCTCCAAAATTTGGCAGGATTTGATTTCATAAATTCAGACAAAGTTACATTAAAATATTTGGTTTTAGCTGTTAACATCTTTTCTTTCAAGGTTGTTTTCAGATATTCAAACGAGGTATGAACAACTGATTCTGTGTTATCTTTTATTGAACGACGTCTCCTCTTCGTTTGCCGCATCAACTGCAGCACCTCTCTCGTAATCCAGGGGTGCGCAGGGTTCTTTTTCTTTCTAGTAACAGGTACAAATTTGTTGATGCATTTTTCTATAAGGGAGTTGAAATATCTAAGCAACGTATTGACATCAGCGTCTAGACTTATGGCACAAAAATCATCAAAATAAAAACTAAGTTCATCAATAATTGACACATCGTCAGCTCTGTTGAAATCAAGGAACGTGACGAATTCAGGGTTCGAACGCTTGACACGAATGTTAAGGCTGACAAGGACAGCTTTGTGATCAGAAATTCCCTCGACCACCTCGCAGTCATAACCTAGGTTTGCGATACTATGGGTTAGAAAAACAAGATCAAGAACAGAATTATCTCTGGTGCACGTTTTGACAACCTGATCTAGGTCGAATGACACAGCTATATCTACTAGAGCATCACAAATGGCCCTGTCGCGACAGCCAACCACTAGCGTTTCCCAGTTTATATCGGGTGCATTAAAATCGCCCAGCAAGATAAGCTTGAAATTCGCCAGATTGTATTTGTGAATGTAGTCATATATATCAAAGATCGTTTGCAGGCCCGAACTAGGAGCGCGATAAACCGCTCCGATAACAAGAACGAACTTATCAAGCTGCACCTTACACCATAAAGACTCTGTGTTAGGTAAACAGGGAAGAACCGAAAAACTAATACCAGATTTAAAAAAAAGCGCGACACCACCACCTCTAGAAGACCTATCGCATCGTACCACGTTGTAATTAGGAGGTGTAAATTCGCAATCAAGAATGCCATCGTGTAACCAGGTTTCCGTAACACACATCACGTGCGGTGAATAAGAAGCTGCAATGCACGAGAACTCTGTAAATTTAGGGACAAGGCTCCGAGCATTAATGTTTAATACAGACAATGGTTTATTCGGTAACTGTCAGTTCGATCCGGTGGCAAGAACCGGAGGAGGAACTTTTATCAGCGTTCTATTTGTTGAATCCCACGAGTATCGGTCGTTGTCAACAAGAGCGTAGTCGTAACGTAGACGGACCTTTGCGCCATTTCTTCGGAATTCGGCAGTACTAAGCCAGAGTTGTTTTCGAATGTCTCTAATACGAGGTGAAAAATCCTCGTTAATAAATATCCGTGTGCCTTTAAGTTTGGAAACATTTTTGAGTATCCGCATTTTGTCACGGAAGTCCATCAATTTAAAAATTATAGGTCGTATTTTACCTTGTGCGGGGATACCAATACGATGACAGCGTTCTATGGCATCGCAAGTCACAGACAGTTTTCTGGTCAACAGTTCAGTTACACTATCCAGTAGTGATGCAGGGGTTTCGTTAACAGGCTCTTCTAGACCATACACGACCAAGTTGTTTCTGCGAGAACGGTTTTCCAAATCATCATTCTTATCTGTAAGTTGACAGACAGCTGTTTCGAGAGCGGCACTCTTTCTTTCTAGACACTGCAACCGTCGGGCGATATCAGATATCTGGGACGAGCCAGCTTCGATTGCAACAAGTCGAGATTTGTAGGCGGCAAACTTAGCATCCAGAGCCTCTTGTCTGTTTTTGATAGAAGTAACGTCCGCAGCAATTTGTGTTTGGCCAGTTAGTAATTGCTGAAGGAGAGCTAGCGTCTCGGGGCCAGGGTTAGATTCAATATCGCCACTACACAACAGGATAGATGAACATATCCTAAACCATGACAATATATCAGAACAAATGCCAACCAGTGGGCCCGGTAGCAGCAAAAGAAAGCGATCATCGGACTTAAAACCGTCTGGCAAAGAAACAAACTCTACCTGTAGGGTGAGACAGAAGAAACTCAGTGGCATATTCGTCTCGCTGCCACCAAGCCCACTGAAGAGAAGAGACTGCGTCGATGGCTTTATGGCATCTGTAGCGGAAGTAGGTGTCGCTGCGGTGCTTCCGTAGAGGGTCCAATCCAGTGTTGCTAGATGAAGTGCAGGCCGGTCGTCAAAAGGTGTCGAATCATCACACGATGACGGGGGTTCAGGAACCAGAAAGCGGGAACTGGCGAACCCGTGCGGCAACAAATCCGCGGTGACGCGGCATACGGAAGCCGGGGGTGACCAGACCGTTCCGAAGACAGCGATCTGTAGGGTGAGACAGAAGAAACTCAGTGGCATATTCGTCTCGCTGCCACCAAGCCCACTGAAGAGAAGAGACTGCGTCGATGGCTTTATGGCATCTGTAGCGGAAGTAGGTGTCGCTGCGGTGCTTCCGTAGAGGGTCCAATCCAGTGTTGCTAGATGAAGTGCAGGCCGGTCGTCAAAAGGTGTCGAATCATCACACGATGACGGGGGTTCAGGAACCAGAAAGCGGGAACTGGCGAACCCGTGCGGCAACAAATCCGCGGTGACGCGGCATACGGAAGCCGGGGGTGACCAGACCGTTCCGAAGACAGCGATCTGTAGGGTGAGACAGAAGAAACTCAGTGGCATATTCGTCTCGCTGCCACCAAGCCCACTCTCGTCATATAAGTGTGGCAATGACCTCGTCTTGAGCCTGCATTCGTATTCGACCGTCCTGAAGCCTCTCTAGGTCTGTTCGTCCAACCGTGGATCCCGAAAGTGCTTTGGATAATGGTCCCTACCGAGTTGGATTAGGTCAGTGTCTCGTGAGTGTTCGACTTCACAGCTGACAGCTGGAGCGGGCGAGTTGCCGATCGTGTGGACTTTTCTCGTCATATAAGTGTGGCAATGACCTCGTCTTGAGCCTGCATTCGTATCCGACCGTCCTGAAGCCTCTCTAGATTTGTTCGTCCAACCGTGGATCCCGAAAGTGCTTTGGTTAATGGTCCCTACCGAGTTGGATTAGGTCAGTGTCTCGTGAGTGTTCGACTTCACAGCTGACAGCTGGAGCGGGCGAGTTGCCGATCGTGTGGACTTTTCTCGTCATATAGGTGTGGCAATGACCTCATCTTGAGCCTGCATTCGTATCCGACCGTCCTGAAGCCTCTCTAGATCTGTTCGTCTAACCGTGGATCCCGAAAGTGTTTTGGATAATGGTCCCTACCGAGTTGGATTAGGTCAGTGTCTCGTGAGTGTTCGACTTCACAGCTGACAGCTGGAGCGGGCGAGTTGCCGATTGTGTGGACTTTTCTCGTCATATAAGTGTGGCAATGACCTCGTCTTGAGCCTGCATTCGTATCCGACCGTCCTGAAGCCTCTCTAGATCTGTTCTTCTAACCGTGGATCCCGAAAGTGCTTTGGATAATGGTCCCTACCGAGTTGGATTAGGTCAGTGTCTCGTGAGTGTTCGACTTCACAGCTGACAGCTGGAGCGGGCGAGTTGCCGATCGTGTGGACTTTTCTCGTCATATAAGTGTGGCAATGACCTCGTCTTGAGCCTGCATTCGTATCCGACCGTCCTGAAGCCTCTCTAGATCTGTTCTTCTAACCGTGGATCCCGAAAGTGCTTTGGATAATGGTCCCTACCGAGTTGGATTAGGTCAGTGTCTCGTGAGTGTTCGACTTCACAGCTGACAGCTGGAGCGGGCGAGTTGCCGATCGTGTGGACTTTTCTCGTCATATAGGTGTGGCAATGACCTCATCTTGAGCCTGCATTCGTATCCGACCGTCCTGAAGCCTCTCTAGATCTGTTCGTCGAACCGTGGATCCCGAAAGTGCATTGGATAATGGTCCCTACCGAGTTGGATTAGGTCAGTGTCTCGTGAGTGTTCGACTTCACAGCTGACAGCTGGAGCGTGCGAGTTGCCGATCGTGTGGACTTTTCTCGTCATATAAGTGTGGCAATGACCTCGTCTTGAGCCTGCATTCGTATCCGACCGTCCTGAAGCCTCTCTAGATCTGTTCGTCCAACCATGGATCCCGAAAGTGCTTTGGATAATGGTCCCTACCGAGTTGGATTAGGTCAGTGTCTCGTGAGTGTTCGACTTCACAGCTGACAGCTGGAGCGGGCGAGTTGCCGATCGTGTGGACTTTTCTCGTCATATAAGTGTGGCAATGACCTCGTCTTGAGCCTGCATTCGTATCCGACCGTCCTGAAGCCTCTCTAGATCTGTTCGTCCAACCGTGGATCCCGAAAGTGCTTTGGATAATGGCCCCTACCGAGTTGGATTAGTTCAGTGTCTCGTGAGTGTTCGACTTCACAGCTGGAGCGGGCGAGTTGCCGATAGTGCGGACTTTTCTCGTCACATAAGTGAGGCAATGACCTCGTCTTGAGCCTGCATTCGTATCCGACCGTCCTGAAGCCTCTCTAGATCTGTTCGTCCAACCGTGGATCCCGAAAGTGCTTTGGATAATGGTCCCTACCGAGTTGGATTAGGTCAGTGTCTCGTGAGTGTTCGACTTCACAGCTGGAGCGGGCGAGTTGCCGATCGTGCGGACTTTTCTCGTCAAATAAGTGTGGCAATGACCTCGTCTTGAGCCTGCATTCGTATCCGACCGTCCTGAAGCCTCTCTAGATTTGTTCGTCCAACCGTGGATCCCGAAAGTGCTTTGGTTAATGGTCCCTACCGAGTTGGATTAGGTCAGTGTCTCGTGAGTGTTCGACTTTACAGCTGACAGCTGGAGCGGGCGAGTTGCCGATCGTGTGGACGTTTCTCGTCATATAGGTGTGGCAATGACCTCATCTTGAGCCTGCATTCGTATCCGACCGTCCTGAAGCCTCTCTAGATCTGTTCGTCTAACCGTGGATCCCGAAAGTGTTTTGGATAATGGTCCCTACCGAGTTGGATTAGGTCAGTGTCTCGTGAGTGTTCGACTTCACAGCTGACAGCTGGAGCGGGCGAGTTGCCGATTGTGTGGACTTTTCTCGTCATATAAGTGTGGCAATGACCTCGTCTTGAGCCTGCATTCGTATCCGACCGTCCTGAAGCCTCTCTAGATCTGTTCTTCTAACCGTGGATCCCGAAAGTGCTTTGGATAATGGTCCCTACCGAGTTGGATTAGGTCAGTGTCTCGTGAGTGTTCGACTTCACAGCTGACAGCTGGAGCGGGCGAGTTGCCGATCGTGTGGACTTTTCTCGTCATATAAGTGTGGCAATGACCTCGTCTTGAGCCTGCATTCGTATCCGACCGTCCTGAAGCCTCTCTAGATCTGTTCTTCTAACCGTGGATCCCGAAAGTGCTTTGGATAATGGTCCCTACCGAGTTGGATTAGGTCAGTGTCTCGTGAGTGTTCGACTTCACAGCTGACAGCTGGAGCGGGCGAGTTGCCGATCGTGTGGACTTTTCTCGTCATATAGGTGTGGCAATGACCTCATCTTGAGCCTGCATTCGTATCCGACCGTCCTGAAGCCTCTCTAGATCTGTTCGTCGAACCGTGGATCCCGAAAGTGCATTGGATAATGGTCCCTACCGAGTTGGATTAGGTCAGTGTCTCGTGAGTGTTCGACTTCACAGCTGACAGCTGGAGCGTGCGAGTTGCCGATCGTGTGGACTTTTCTCGTCATATAAGTGTGGCAATGACCTCGTCTTGAGCCTGCATTCGTATCCGACCGTCCTGAAGCCTCTCTAGATCTGTTCGTCCAACCATGGATCCCGAAAGTGCTTTGGATAATGGTCCCTACCGAGTTGGATTAGGTCAGTGTCTCGTGAGTGTTCGACTTCACAGCTGACAGCTGGAGCGGGCGAGTTGCCGATCGTGTGGACTTTTCTCGTCATATAAGTGTGGCAATGACCTCGTCTTGAGCCTGCATTCGTATCCGACCGTCCTGAAGCCTCTCTAGATCTGTTCGTCCAACCGTGGATCCCGAAAGTGCTTTGGATAATGGTCCCTACCGAGTTGGATTAGTTCAGTGTCTCGTGAGTGTTCGACTTCACAGCTGGAGCGGGCGAGTTGCCGATAGTGCGGACTTTTCTCGTCACATAAGTGAGGCAATGACCTCGTCTTGAGCCTGCATTCGTATCCGACCGTCCTGAAGCCTCTCTAGATCTGTTCGTCCAACCGTGGATCCCGAAAGTGCTTTGGATAATGGTCCCTACCGAGTTGGATTAGGTCAGTGTCTCGTGAGTGTTCGACTTCACAGCTGGAGCGGGCGAGTTGCCGATCGTGCGGACTTTTCTCGTCAAATAAGTGTGGCAATGACCTCGTCTTGAGCCTGCATTCGTATCCGACCGTCCTGAAGCCTCTCTTGATCTGTTCGTCCAACCGTGGA